AAATCATAGGTGATAACATTAACACAAAAGCAGCAAGCAAATACTCATGGGGAACACAGTTTTTATATTAAAAATATCAGAAGTTCACAGTTTTCTTCTTTCTTCCTGACTTACATTGATAAAATGCTTTTATAGCTACAATCTATTTCACTTTCTGGTACCAGATCCAATGCCTAGTTGATCAGCAGATGGATGCTACTAACACATTCATCTTACATAAAACTCACACATCTTCAATTTCTAAAAATGTCTTGCTCTGTAAAACCGTGACCACTGGGAATGGAAAAGACAGGAAACTAAGTTCAAATGTAATGAGATGAGAAAGAGGGACAGAAAATATTGGCAGTCTTTACTAATAAAACATTGAATTATAAAGTACATACAGGTAGCTTTGATGATTCAATAGGAAACCACACACTGATTTACAAAGTCTATGACCTCTAACTATTTTTGTTTAATCCAAATGAAAGTGAAAAATACACATTTTCAAAGAATTTCAAAATCCACCTACATGGCAAGGTAACATTAAGGGTTTTTAGGTAAGCAGATCACAAGACAGGTTTATTTTGTTTGTGTTTTAAGGCAAAGCAAAATTTCCCACGTGAAATACCTACAAAATAAATTTGCTTTAGAAATAAATTTCAGTAATAAAATAATACTTCTCACTTATTAAATATATATTTTACCTTTACATCTGATTTAGCAACCTGCATCAAAAAATTCAAGAGTTCTATGAATATTTGCAAATAAATATTTAAAACACTAGCATATAAATGCCTCAGCTGGTATTCATTCGGGTGTTTGGATGTCAACAGTTAGCCAAGGGAAAAAAAGAATAAATGATAAACTACCCACTTAGAAAATTTTCCCCTTAGACAACATGGGAATGTGACGCACTGGTTCAGAATGAAGTCATTTTTCTGGACAGCACATATCAGTGGAACACATGTGTTCTCCTTTTGCAAATCAAAGTACCCAACAGTACTGTTTTCTTCAGCTATTAAATCAATAGCCTAAGATTTATGTTTACTGTAATCTCTCTTTTCGTGTAAAGTATTTCCTTAAAAACCAAATCACTGTATAGAAAGCAACTGTCTACTATGAAGAATAAAATCATTTCAGGTAAAAAGTGAAATAATTAATGAAAATTGTTTAAACTCATTTAATAACCTGGATACTTGGTTCCAATAAAGACAAGAATGAATTAAAATGTCTGTATGATTTCCCAAGCAGGGAGTGTCATCCCTTCAAATTGAGGAAGACTTTCCAGCATTTCAAAATAACAGAATTCCTTTAAAACTGAAATAATAAGCAATATTCTTTAACATGTTCATTGTATCCAATTTCTCTGGCTATCAGTTCTGTTACACTGAGACCAACTTTTTTTTTCCTAAATAGTGTCCAACAGACTACCAATAATTAAAACAAATTTACTCGAAAATATTAAGTAGCAATAAAACCAAAGCTCCCACTGGGGTATGCCAGCATCCCTTACATTCATCACTTAAACTGTGTGTTTCTAAGAACTACTGGATTAACATACAAGGTGTATTGTGTATTAACATACAAGTTTTACTTTATAAAGCTAAGCATTATACTTCAAAGAACCTTGAGATTTCCTATTAAATACCTGATGTAGGCATCTGTATGCATTCTTTATTAAATACAGTGAGGCAGCTGCTAGATTTTTCCATGCAAGGTCGGGTCACAGTATTACTGTCTGATACATTTATAAACTGGACAGAAAGCTAGATCCACCCAGCCCTTTGGGATGGATCAGGCCAAGAACCTGCTCAGCCTTCTGAATCCACTAACCAGTCCTTGCATCATTTCTTTCTGCAGTTTTCAAGTCATAAACAGATGGGAATGGATGGATTCCACGCCATCAAAATCAGACAGCAACTGCTCAACAGAGAAGGTATTCTCCCTCATGATAAATTCTGATGTGTCCTTCCTTACATTTCAAGTTCAACAATCCGAAGTAACGAAATCTAACAGCAGATATAAAAAAGACAAAGCTATCAACAATGGGAAGTGGGAACAGGGTTTCAAACAAGCAATCAAATACATAAAGAAAAATATATAAATAACTGGTCTGCAGGAGGGGAGACAATCTGGAGAAAATCCACCGCTCTTTCTGAAAGAGCAGGAAAAAACATTGTCCATTTCATATTTATAAGCTGTTTTCTATCTACCTACCTATCTGATCTAGACATGTCTACAGAGATTAAAAATATGTCAATTACATGAATACATATCACTTAAGTATATCATACACAATAAAAATATTAATAATAGGCACCAAAAGGCTTAAAATATATAACTTTAAATAAACTATCTGCCAAATTATAGGTGGGTAACTAGTAGGCCTCAATTTGAAGGCCTAATATTCCTTAAATAGTCACATTGGCATAGCTGAGTCAATGTTGAAACATTAATAATGTTTCAATATTGGACACCAAATTCTTCAGAATAATGTTAATCTTAGAAAATATTATTTTTGGGGTGCCTAGGTGGCTCAGTCAATTAAGCATCCAGCTCTTGATTTCAGCTCAGGTCTTGATCTCAGGGTCATGAGTTCAAGCCCCACGTTGGGCCCCACACGGGGTGTGGAGCCTACTTAAAGGAAAATATATATATATATATATATATATTATTTTAATCATAAAACCTACTAATATCTCAAAGGTGAGTCACTCTACAACTCTAATAGTTTGTGCTGTTGCATCTGAAAAAACGAGGAATGTTTGTAAAATCAGATGAAAATAATCATGTTAAAAATAAGTCTCAGTCTAATATTTGAGGAGCTCTGGGAGAGTGGAGAAGGATCAAAGATGACCTTGATCATCTGCAGAATAAAATGATGAAATGAAAGTTCATGGGCCCTTGAACTTCAGAAAAAGCAAACCTCACAGATACATATTTGAACCAGAATTGAAAATACACCTATGGTGATTGGGTGATCATAGCAGATAGCAAGTAAAGGCCAGAACTCCAGGAAGCATGCTTTTGGGAGACCTTTTCTTTAAACAGAACTGCAGCACATATAAATAAGCACTCCTTGACACTTGGCACCATTCCAACACAGGCCACTGGCCTTGTTTCAAGGGCTCAAGAGTCCCATGGGGCCAGTGGCCACCAGAGTGGACAGAGTAGGACTGAGGAGAAACAACACCATCCAGAGGCTGGGGGGATGGGCAGAGGGGAGGAGATAATTTCCCAAGACCCATTCCAGGCCCTATGAATCACAAAATCTTAGGGCATCTAGACAATCACTAGAATCTTCATTAACTCATTTTAACTAAATGCATTTGAATTTATGATTTATAAAGATGGAGAAAATAAGAGAAAAACAGAAATATGTAAAAAGAAAAGTCAATGAAGAATTAATCAGAGTAATTCCAAAAATTTTTCCAGTTAGTCATAAAGACCTTTTCAATTATTATTTTCAGTCAATTTAAAGGAAGGATGAGAAGTAGAATCATAACGACCATTGAGACTATTAGTGCCTCATCACAATGTAACTGTGTTTACAGTAGTGTCAAAAGAAGAAATACTCACTTGTCTTCAAAAGGGGGGAAACCTTCTTCTTTATACACATCCCACTGATTTGAAGCCCTTATCAAAGACTCATAGAGTGACCTCAAAGTTACACTCTAAGTTCCCAGGCCAGGTAGGAATGACAGTCACGTAGCTCTGCTAACCTGCCTACTTTGCCAAAGACATAGTTATACTGTTAGATTGCTTCAATGATTAAAAATCTTCCTTGACACTGATTAATTTGAAGTTCACTTCCCTACAGCTTCTACCCACTTGTAGAGGAAACAGAATCAATGAACTTCCTTTTCCTATGTAACTTGAGACTTCCTTGTATCCAGGAGAAGCACAGAAACATTCAAATATATGTCTATATAGGAGCTGATGTAGTTAATCTTCCATTAATTATCAATAATGCCCTTCTTGTCACTGATCCTACAAAGCAGAACCTCTGCTTCAGTCTTAAAATTTATACAGCACTAATCAAAACCCTGGCTCTCCATTTAAAAAAAAAGAAAGAAAATTATACCAAAAACTATACAAATTGCACAAACTGTCAGACACATTGGCAGCCCAAACCCATCACATATGCCCCTCCAAACATTAGATAAAATATTGTCACTTCAGCACTCGTTCTTCACAAAGCACCCTGAATCCAAAGTAACTCCAGAAATGCAATATTAGCTGATGCCACATGGAACTGGTGCCACCAGGGTATCAGGAACAGGCCGGGAAACAGATAAATATTTGTAGTGTTTATGATATTACAACAATTAAACAGTCAATGGATAGACTATCCATATTATCAGGTAACTATAAAGAGAATAGGACAATCAAAGAAAGACAATTATCGTATGGTTTCACTCACATGAGAAATGAAAGAAACAGCGCAGAGGATCGCAGGGGAAGGGAGGGAAAACTGGAATGGGAAGAAATCAGAGAGGGAGACAAACCAGGAGAGACTCTTAACTATGGGAAAGAAACTGAGGGTTGCCGGGGGGCAGGTTGGTGGGGGATGGGGTAACTGGGTGATGGGCATTAAGGTGATAAGCACTGGGTGTTATATGCAACTAATAAATTACTGAACTACATCTGAAGCTAATGATGTTCTATATGTCGGTTAATTGAACTTAAGAAGAATAGGAAGTAAAAACAAAAACAATAGAAGAAAAAATAAAAGAAATTTTAATGAGATACAGGAACTTCTTTTATATTTGTTTGGTAATGCAGAGTTAAAATAAAATAAAAATAACCACAATAGCTCATACAGTTTTGAAATTATACCAGAAAGATAAGTTTTTACTGACTTTCGCTCTGACCTGCAGCTTCTCACAAAAACATTGTGGGTGTATTTATACTTTTAAAAAGTAATGCTACCAAAGCTCTTCTATGGAATTTATAAACTATTTCTCAAGTTGTATATAAAATAATTATTAAACATATTTCCACTGCTGATATTGTAATAACAGTTCATTTTATTTCCTCTCGCCTGGACCTAAAATAAAGCTACGTAATTCACATTAATAGCACATAGTGAGAGCTCCCACCATGCTCTCTGAAGGGCTAGTTCTCTGACTCAAGTTGTACTAATCATCTTCCACTGGAAACATATCTTCAGTATTGGTCAAGAATTAGCACCTTAAAGAAAACAAGACCAAAATACCTGCTGGGTACAGACTCACGTCGCAGGGAATGAACAGCAAGGAGCAAATTCATAATCTGCGTTATTGTCCGTGACAAACACATGAATAAGTTTAAAGGTATTTGAATTTCTGCACTTCCTTCATTTTACAGCAGAGGCCACAAACTCAGCCAATATTTTTGTGTTGGTATTGTAATCAGTGCATAAAAACCATAATTATTACGGCAACTCATATATTCATATAGACTTTCACAGTTTACCAAAAGCTATCATAGGCATCATCTAATTGAGCCGCCACAAGCACCAAGCAGTTGTGTTGCCTTCCCCCTCACCCCCGACCCCGGGGAAATGGAGTCACAGAAAGAATGAAGGACTTACTCCATCCACGTCAAGGTACTACTGACTAGCATAGGTGGGCTCCAGATCCCAATCTGGGGATGTTCTGTTAAACTACAGAGGTTTCCATGATAAGTTACTCTTCAAAATAGAACAGAAATAGGACCACACCCTGATTTGTGGATCCATGAATTATTTTTCCTCGCCCTGGATGCAATCCTGTCATTAACCCCAACATATGGGCGGGGAGTGGGGGTAGACAGAGATGACCGTAGAATAAGACTCGCACTTTGTGGTAACAGTTTGAGTTAAACAGTTTGACACTGTGTGCTGAAAATGCCTAATACACAGACTCACAGTTATAAAACCAAAAGAGACCTTGAAAATTCATCTGTTCTTTTTCCATTTCACAGATGAGGAAAATACGCTGATGCAGAGAGCAGGGGGCTCCCTAGAGGTCACCCCAGTGACTGCTAAGCAGTAGCAGAGCCAGGCTCTCTCCCGCATTCTGCCCTGATTGTGTTTCCCAGATAAAGGATGAAGCGTGGTCCAGATATTTACAAGGAACCATCACAGTGCTAGATAGATTAGAAAATTAGATCTTACTCACCAACATCATGAGTATAAAAATTATTGATATTTTACATACCATTTAAAGCAGCAGGAACTTTGCTTCCTATAGAAAAAATAATCAACGTATGTATTTTAGACTCTCATGGCTAAGATTGAGGATAATTTCTAAAATATGACTTCTTCTTCCCTTTAGACAATTTCTTGAATTTTGTTATTATAATAGACTTAAGTACATTCAAAAAAAGGATAGTCACTCAAAAACGTCACCACCTTTAACTTACATGAAGAATAAAAAAAACCCAAAACCTAATATTTCACCATCTTTTCCAGACACAGTTCCCTTCAACCCATTAAGGACACTATCCTATCCCTATTCACACCCACTGCCTGTCTTGTTCAGGAGACTTCAGGTTTTTGTTAATCTATTTTGAATGTAGGTGATTTTTATTTCCCCTCTTAAATTTAAATACTAGGCAACAAAATATCTCTGACCAACAAATCTAAAAATGGCTCAACTTATCAGCCCTTTGCTACTTAAACATAAATTTCCACATTAAAAAAATAATCTAATCAGACTTTATTGTACCTGTGAGTCCTTTAAAAGACTTCTTCACTCTCCAATTCAAATCCAATATGAAATTCTTCTTGGAGAGGCAAAATGTAAGAATTTTCTAGACAGTACTGAACATTGAACATCGTTTCATAGGAAAAAAAAAAAACTGACGCAGACTAACAGTAAACCACACAGATGATAAAAAATATTGACAATAAAATTAGTTTTTTGTCTCTCATTCACAAGATCACTTTTCCATTTTAATACAAGGTCTAATCTAGAGCAGATGTCAGTGCTAACTGAGGGGAAACTCCATCCTTCGTGTTCTGATCAATCGGAGGAAGTTTTTTTCCAGAGGTGAAGAGCTGCCTGAATTCGGAAGTGTAGCCTGGACTCCATGGAGTAATCTTTGTAGTTGTTTCTGAAGAAAATAACAATGAAATTGTAACGTCAAAATCCCTTTGTATCCAAGAGCAACACCACCACCTCCCCTTCTTCTCATCTTCATTCCTTATTTGCTTCCAAACGTGAATATGCATTAACAGCAGATCTTGTTAAAATGTAGATTCCGATCCTGTGAGCTAAGGAGGATGGCAATATTCCCTATTTCTAGAAGCTTCCTGGCAGTGATTTGAACGTCATACTTTGAGTAGCAAGTTCCTATTTAATGACCAAGCCATTCACAAACACAGCCAGAAGCTTATGAAGAGGGTTTAACAAATTTTGTGAACTATTCTTAAATAGTTGACTTCCTTCTCTAAACCAGGAATTTTAAGGCAGCTTCACGTGAACATTATCAATCACCCCCCCAGAGAAATCATGCTGAACATTATCAACCGCCCCCCCCAAGAGAAATCATGCTGAAACCATCATGAAACAACTACAACAAAGAAATCAGGATTATGTGGTGATACCAAAATTACTTACTCCAATTCTCACAGGCAAATATCAATCACTTGGCCAATAGTTATGGGACAATGTCAGAAGGGGCCATAGAAATCCGCAGATTAGTTAAAATGTTTACTTAGCTCATCCATGTTCACTTCTGTCTGCTAGAATTGTTAAGAATCGGCACAGTGGAATGACTTTGACTTTGGGCTCCTGCTTTCACACACCACCTTGGCCCGTGGGTGAACTGTAACTCCTTTGCATGGCAATACTGTCCTTCTACAGCCCTTCATTTTAGGGAGGGCTAAGAGCTACTCACTGGTAACCTTGATAAGGGTTAATATTCACAATACGGGTTACCAGAGGATGTAACTGAGTATTTTCCTAAATGCCTGGCCACTAATTTTGGCAACTTTGAGAAGCTCCAACAGAATAAGGGAAAATGCAGACAATTGAAAGTCTTGAAATTACTGGGAAGTCCGTTTATGGTGGCTTCATTAGCACTGGCTTAAGTTAGTGGTGACTTTTGATCACCGGTGGTCTTTTTAGTAGTGAATTACCAATCTTTTATTCTCATCATTATAAATTTGTCTTATTGTGCATTGCTTAGATAACACCAAGTAGGTCCAAACAATAAATACTGCAAACAACAGTAATGAGAGTCCCTAATTTTCCAATAGCTAGATTTGAAGATACATACATGTCAGCTGAAATACGAGTCATTCTTACTCTCAACAAAATTAGCTTTAAAAGTGACTCACTCTGATATCACCCTTTATTTTCTTTAAAGATTTTTATTTATTTGGAGAGAGAAAGAGAGCACAAGCAGGGGGAACAGCAGAGGGAGAGGGAGAAGCAGGCTCCCCGCAGAGCAGGGAGCCCGATGCGGGACTCCATCCCAGGACCCCGGGATCATGACCTGAGCCGAAGGCAGATGCCCAACTCACTGAGTCCCCCAGGCGCCCCTGATATCACCCTTTAAAAAAATTAGCAGCAGCAGCACCCTCTCTCGGTTCTGTGATGCCCCCGAAGCTTCTTTCCCATTACCAGGCTTTATTCACAGCAAAACATCCTGAAACGTTGCCTGAAGTAGCTGACTCCATTTTCTCCCCTCACAGGTCAAAGTCACTGATAATCTTCATGCTGCCAGGTTCAGCAGCCACTTCTCTGGACTCACCTTGCTTGACCTCTCAGCAGCCATCCTCACAAATGACCACTTGCTTCTCTTTGAAACACTTTGTTCACTTGGCTTTCCCGGATGTCTTCCTAACTCACTGGCCACTTCTTCTTAATCTTATTGTTTCATGTCTAAAATGATGAAGTATCCCAAGGCTCTGTGCTGAACCTCTTTCTCTAGTTATATTACTTTCCCAGAATCACTTCAAGTATCATGGCTTTAAATATCACTGTCTCTGTGCAGGTGACTTTGAAATCTCTACATTCAGCTTTGATGTTTCCACTGAACTCCATTCTTATATATTTTGTCCATCTCCACATGGACACCCAACAAGCACCTCAAAATCCCATGGTCCTAAACAGAAGTATGTTTTCTCCTTTCCTGGAACCTGCTCTTCTAAGCATACCCCAATTCAGTAAAGAGCATCAGGTACTATCTAGTGGCTCAACCGCCCAGTTTAGAGGTTTCCTAGCTGTGGCTTCGGCCAGGAATGCTCCCCACCCAGTCTTTTGGTGACTGATCTTCTCAAGACTGGCTTTAAATATGCAAATCTCAACTACAATATCATCTCCTCAAGGAAATCTTCCAGACTCAACTCAATTTAAGGTAATACCCAGGAACTCTGTATCATACTATAAATCTCAGCAAAGCATATACCACTGCTGGTTTTCCTACTTGTTGGCTTATTCAACATCTCCCTCTAACTAAGCAAGAGGAAACGTTGCCTGTTTATGTATAGATGTCTGTCTAGAGTCTTTACTAGTGTCTGGCACATAATAAGTGCTCAGTGAATACTCGCTGAATTTGAGTAAATGAACAAACCAATGAATCACTCAGCTATTTATGGCTTAAAGCTATTATGTCATTTGGGGCGCCTGGGTGGCTCAGTTGGTTAAGCGACTGCCTTCGGCTCAGGTCTTGATCCTGGAGTCCCGGGATCGAGTCCCACATCGGGCTCCCTGCTCAGCAGGGAGTCTGCTTCTCCCTCTGACCCTCTTCCCTCTCGTGCTCTCTATCTCTCATTCTCTCTCTCTCAAATAAATAAATAAAATCTTTTAAAAAAAAAAAAAAGCTATCATGTCATTCTTTCTCCGCTGTAAGAAGTATTCAAGGCAAACAGACCATAGGGTTTTAAGTGAGCTGGGATCACAAGTCTGAGAGCCATTGTCTAGCAGAAATGAAAATGCTTTGAAATTATCACAGTAGACAGAAAGAAAAGAGAGCCAGGGAAAGATACAGAGGGCTTCTTCCAATGAGCGGCTCTTCAGGGAAACGAGAGATATGGTTGAAGACACCAAGGGTCAGCAAACTATGACCCAAATAATGGCCAAATCCAGATATACCCATTTATTTACAAGCTGTCTTCTGTGGCTGCTTCAATACAATTAGAAGTTGCAATGAGACCTTATACTGTAAAACCAAATATACTTACTATCTGGCCCTTTACAGAAAACATCTGCCAACCCCAATCCAGAAGAGAATAGGTTAGAAGTCTCGCATAGAGATGCCCACAGTCACAACACTTGTACACAGTCATAGGGCCAGGCATTAAAAAGGTTGGAAATAGCACAACTACAGCAGAAGTCATGAGCATAATAACATTATTACTCATTTTCATTCATGTTTTAACTTCTAAGTATATAATATTACTGCTGTGGTTACACTGGTGCTGATGTTCCTGACTCCATACCAGGCAGGAAAAGCTGCCATCGTCACTTACCTTGCAGTTTCTAGGGTCTTTATGGCCTTGTCAATTTCCCCTTGGCTTTTGTACAAAAAGGCCAACTCAAACAGAGTAAATGGCACTAGATAGTGATCATACTTCAGTAGCTTTTCACTAAAAGAGTGAAAGAAAAGCGATTAAGTCTTAACAGAACAAGAAACAAATCATTCATTTTCAATGTATGTACTTTCCCCATTCCTCAGAAAACAGGTGCAGCACTAAGCCTATTACCAGAGAGAACTGTCATTATACAATCAAGGAATCTAATAACCAATGGCAATAAATAGTTTGTTTTGAATATATTCATCTTTTATTTTATTCTTTAATCTAAATCCAGTACTGAGCATTGTTTACGACCCTTAGGAAGATGAATGCATGCAGATCTTCAAAGATTAACCCTGGGAAGGACAAAGTCATCCTCCTAAAAAACGAATGTGTTCAGGTAATGACTCCATTTAGAAATAAGAACACTGTATTACTTTATATTGTTAAGTCTTATAAGGCTAAGAAATAAAAACACTGTATCACCTTATATTGTTAAGTCTTATAAGGCTAAAAAAAAGTCAATAAATAAGTGGTCGACACTTCTGTTTTCAGCAATATTATGAAATCTGACCATAAAACATCAAGAAGCAATAAAAAATATATATATAAGTAATGCCCTTCCAAATGCATAACTAAGCTCACAAGAACATAAGAAAAACTCTCAAACTGAAAACAAAACAAAGCCAGAACTCTAAGTGTGTGGATGATGTCAAAGTAGTCCTGGGATCTGTTTCAGCCTTAATCAACCAGGGCTTTATATCTCAGTGTCCATGCAGATGAGGCCTTGAGTCCACAGAAGAGGAGAGCCTGAGACCTCTATATAAAGCTGGGGCCATTCTCCATCAGAGAAAGGGCAGATTGGAAAAACCCATTCCCTGGCACAGAAGGAAGCAAAGGGCACTTGGCTCCTCAGCCTGCATCCAGGTTGGAAGGAAAAAACACATTCCATGGGAAATTAATAACCAATAGGCTTGTCCTCACATGAAGCTGCAATTCAAGTTTACGTGGCCCAGAGGATCCAAGAACCTCTAGGCAATGACATTAACATGAAAGTGGGCCTGGGCTGAAAAAGTTTTGGGGGCACCTGGCAGAAATAAAATCAAAATCACTTTAGAGACTCTTCTTCCATCCTAGCCTCATAGGTGTCTCAGATACAGCCCACTGAAGGGGAGCTCACGATCCAAAATGACGAAACCCATGAACAAACAATTCACTGTAGATTTGATAAACGTAACACATAGCTCAAATGGCTCATCCTTTTGGTCCTTCCAGAAACACCAGTAAAATTGAATTCAATGGATACTTTTTTTTTAATTTTTTTTTTTTTTATCAATGGCTACTTCTTTAACATGTTTACTAAAAAACAGTAGATTACTTATTTGGGAAATAGACATGGTCCCTTTCCACTTTATAAGGACACCAGTCCTCATCAGTCCTCCGACATTCTCACCCAAACTAGTGTTTAGTTTTCATGGAACTTAGTGTTCCCCTCCAACACCAAGTAGAAATGCATAAAGCCATGTTCCACTTAGGCTCCAAGTCCGCTCTCAAAGGACAAAGAGAGCACTACTGGATTCTCTTCCTGGTAACAGCGAACAGTCGCGGCGGGAGAGCACGTCACTCTCTCCCAGCAATTCCCTGGAAACCGCAGTCTGCGCTCCACTCGGCCTCCTGGTTTGTCTGTACCTTTGGATGACGTGATTGAAGCACAGTTCGGCCTGCAGGGGTCGCTGTAGGTTCTTCAGGCAACAGCCCTTCAGCAGCTTCACCAGGCACTCGTCGTCCACAGAGTAGTCACTTATGTCTAAAGCCAAACAAACAGAAAGCGCACACAAAAGGAAAACCACTTTTTAACATCCCAAGGAAAAATAAAAAATAAAATTAAATAAATAAGTAAATAAATAAAACCCCAAGGAAGAGGGAGAACGAATAGCTACGAGGTTTCGGGGGGATCACCGAAAAGTAAGGAAAATATTTCTAGCATTCGTTATGCTTCACTTAATAAAGCACAATGAAAATATTTTAAATGAAAAGAGGAGGCAGCTTACTACCTTAATACACCATTTTACTGAAATAAAACTTGAAAATCTCTCCACTTGAACATCTTTCTTCAGGTGCTCAGTGCTCATTCTCTGAGTTAGGTGGCCTTACCTGTAACAATAGGAAATCTGAACTCTAAATAAAGTAAGAGCTGTATTAATTCTATAAAAGGTAAAGCAGTGAGGAGCAAGAAGGCTGCCTCCCCCTGTGGCTCTGATCTCTAACAGTGCTGGCTTCACGCAGGGGAGGGTAACACTTCCATATGGAGAAGCAGATGGCTTCCTACCCATTAAAAATTCAGGAAGTAGAATACCCTCTCCAGACCATTCTGTTTACAACTTATCAATTCTCCCAGGTTTTGTTCTTTTGGGGGGAAATTCTGTCATAAAATTAGACAAATGGTTCCCAAGTACATGCAAGGTACCTAAAACCCTCACAAACTTGCAAGTGCTCGAGGCTAACGTAAAGGGTTTTCCTTTCACCACATTTTCCCTTTTGAAAATGACTCTTTGCCTTCTACAGCCCGAGGCTGTAGAATATTAAACAAAAGGAACCATATCCCGTGTGACACCAACCTGACAAAGGTAGACATTTCACATCTAACACTTTTGAATTGGGGAGCTTTCTCAAGTGACTGCAACTTAGTCATTCCCAAGACAGACTGATAATTTATACATGTCAGGCTGTGACAATACAGGGGGTGGGACGGGCAGTAAACCGAACCACTGAGGCCTGGGAGTCCTCATGTTGAGATTCCCCTGCTTTCGGTACAAACCTCAGAAATCACCATTAACACATGCTGGTGTTTTGAGTTAGTAAACTGCTTGTTTATGGGAGGTTAATGATGCTACTTAACCAACTGGAAGGGGGTCACTTTACTTCTAGGCGGTAAAAACAGCTGATATTCACCTCTCACTTCCAAGCTCTGATAGTTCATTTACCAAGAAGAATCACAGATATCAAGATCAAGTTGATATTCCTATTACTTAAGGACCATTTTTCAGCTCCCCCCCACCCCCTCGGCCACAAACACACACACAAACATATCTACATGTTTCTAATCATGGATGCTCACTGAAATACATATATTAGAAGCAGTATCTTTCCAGGCCGAGAACAAAACCCTTAGGGTCCAAACTGGATGCTAGTTTTTAGTATCATTTTTGTGCATTCTACTGAGTTCTGTATTAGCATTTTATGACAGTTTGTCTTAGCATAAAATTCTGGTGCTCAGGGCATGATGGTTTTGCTGAGGAACAGACATAACACTATGGAAAATTCAAATTAAAGTACCACTAAAGCCGCCCTTAGCTTTTATTAGATCACAAGTTAAGGACATGGAAAATGGGTCCGAAGATACCACCTTCCTCCAAACCTTAGTAAAACCATTATTTCCTCAGACCACAGAGTACTCTCTGTCAGATGATTATTTTCCCTTAAAATCTGAATGCTTTATCATGATTCTCAACCTCCTGGGTGAGTTCACAGATGAACGTTTCAACACAAAATTTCCATTTTACATTCCAAGAAAATTATAAAACAATGCTGCCAAAGCACATTTCCATCACAAAAGATCTGCTTAACTTACTAAAACAGAGGGTAGGCTGAGGAAAAAGAAAGTTTGAAGCCCAAACTACAAAAATATCCACACTGAACTTTATAGAAACTAGCTGAAATGCACCAAAGGAAAAATTCAAAAACAGATTTAGAAAGTGAAAAGCCCGTAAAGTAGCATTTTCCCTTTTATGTAACCCTGATTACGTTTGCTACATAATTTCACAAAGCAAATTAACTGCAACAGAGAGTCAGAGAAGAACTACTGTACCAGCTTCTGGCTCCATGTTGAGTTTAGTTAGAGTTCAAATGGAATACTAATGGAATTAGTGGCAGACACTGACTCCAGGCATATTACACCAAGTGTGCTTCACTTATTAAACTGTATCCTTCCCTTTGTACCCCGAACGGGCCTTTCATAATCACATTGTCAGAGTAAAACACCAACTGTATCTTCCACCCTCTTTTACTTTAGAGACACTTGCCAAGGGGAAAAGCAAAAATACATTCAATACCCAATACTGGGGAGAAAGGGGGTGGAGGCTGGAGTCACCTCGGGTTTACAACTTCACTTCATTTTTTCAGTTTTGGATTTTTTTTCCCCCTTGCTCTGAAAGATAAGAGCTTGATTACTAAAAGGTCATTACTGAGCGGAGCGAGGGAGCAGAGATGGAACTCTGGTAATTTTCCTGCATAAAATAATGGACCTGGAAGAGATTATCATAAATTTTGTGTACAAAAGCTTTAGGAAAGAAAACTTTATTATTATTATTATTTTACCCAGAGGGAACACATACAAAAACAGAATTGTACAAAGTACAGTGCATCTGTCTGTCTGAGCTTTCCCCAGCCCTCCTTAAACATCTCTAAGCCTATCATCTCAATAGATCATTAAAAGAACAAGGAATGAATGGAGAGAGCAGTCTGGTTTTTCAAGCCTCTATTGCACTGTACATACTTACTCTGATACATATATAACTGCTTTACATTTTCCCCCCAACCAATAATGGGACAAAATAAACTTTGAGGTAAAGGCTGAAGATCCTGCTCAAATAGAGAACAATCCAATGGTCCCTCAGGACTTTTTAATATACAAAGGCCCCACTCTCTGGTGGTAAATATTAGTCTATACTGCAAAGGATAGACATTCAAATGTCAGAATTTATTCAACTGAACCAAAGCCCTTACATTTATAGAAAAAACACAAAAAGGGGCGCCTGGGTGGCTCAGTCATTAAGCATCTGCCTTCAGCTCAGGTCATGATCCCAGAGTCCTGGGATCGAGCCCCATACTGGGCTCCCTGCTCGGCGGGAAGCCTGCTTCTCCGTCTCCCACTCCCCTGGCTTGTGTTCCTGCTCTTGCCATCTCTCTCTCTGCCAAAAACAACAACAACAACAACAACAACAACAACAAAAACCACAAAGAACAAGATGGTCCACTTTTTGGGGGTGGAGGGAATACTTTACAAATGTTTTCATTAAAAAAAAGAGGTTTTCCTTCACCTCCCAGTTTTTACATATCCTTACTTATTAAAAACATATCCATTTTCCCATTTGGTTTGTGGATATGTGGGTTTTAATTATAGATAATTCTGCTGGCAGGAACAGTGTTTTCTCAGCCTATCACAATTCTGTATCTAGTATGGAAAATCTGAGAGTGTTCAAATGAGCAAGTTAATAAAATGTAGCCAAATTAGTTGAACAAAAATGAACACTAAAATTTGTTTAAAAGCCCAAATGGATTTTACAAAGGTGCATTTTGTGAAATCTCATTTTTTAAGGTGAACTTTCATGGAGTTTCATTTCATCTAAAATTCAAAATGATGTAACTTCATGTTGACTTCACACTCAAATCAAACTGAAATCTTTTTCCTTTTTTGAGGGAAAATAGTAAAGATCATCTCACATCCATTAGAATGGCTAGTATCAAACAAACAAACAAACAAACAAAAAAACCAGGATATTACAAATACTGGTGAGGATATAGAGAAATTAGAACCTTGTGAACTGCTGGAGGGAATGTAAAATGGTACAGCCATTACAGAAAAAAGTATGACAATTCCTCCAAAAATTTAAAATAGAAATGCCACACGATCCAGCAATTCTACTTCTGGGGATATATCTAAAAGAACTGAAAGTGGGGCACCTGGGTGGCTCAGTCAGTTAAGCATCTGCCTTAGGCTCGGGTCATGATCCCAGGGGCCTGGGATGGAGCCCTGCGTCGGGTTCCCTGCTTGGCGGGTAGCCTGCTTCTCCCTCTACCCCTCCCCGCCGCTTGTACTCCCTCTCTCTCTCTCTTTCAAATAAATAAATAAAATCTTTAAAAATAAATAAAAGAACTGAAAACAATCTCAAAAAACTTTTACCTACCTATGTTCATAGAAGTATTATTTGCAATAGCCAAAAAGTGGAAGCAACTCAATGTGCAACAGTGGATAAATGGAAAAGCAAAATGTGATATATACATTCAATGGAATATTATGCAGCCTTAAAGAGGGAAATTCTCACACATGCTACAACATGGATATACCCTGAGGCCATTTTTTTTTAAAGATTTTATTTATTTGACAGAGAGAGAGAGGGAGAACACAAGCATGGGGAGAGGCAGATGAAGAGGGAGAAGGAAACTCCCCACTGAGCAGAAAGCCCGACGTGGGGAGCTTGATCCCAGGACCCCGGGATCAAGGCCTGAGCCAAAGGCAGACACTTAACCAACTGAGCCACCCAGGGACCCCATTCTCTGAGGCACCATTATGCAAAGTGAAATAAGCCAGTCCTAAAAGGACAAACAATACAGGATTCCACTCATATGAGCAACCTAACGTAGTCAAATTCATAGTAACAAAAAGTATAACTGTGGTTGCCAGAGGCAGTGGGTAGAAGGAAATGGAGAGCTATTTTTAATGGGTATGGAAAAGTTCTGGAGACTGGTTGCACAGCTATGTGAACATAACATTACTGAACTGTACAGTTAAAAATGGGGCACATGGTAAATTTTGTGTACTACAATTAAAAATTAAAAAGAGGGGCACCTGGGTGGCTCAGTCATTAAGCGTCTGACTCTTGATCTCAGCTCAGGTCTTGATGTCATGGTCATGAGATAAAAATAAAACTAAATAAAATAAAATAATTTTTGAAAATTAACAAGATATAATTGTAAAAAGAATAGTAAAGAAGCTTAATGAAACTCTATATATAGAAACTATGTAGATAATATATTACTAATGGAACACCTAGAACATAGAAAGAAAGTCTAAAATGTCCATATAATGAGACTGTTAAGTTTGTTCTTATACATACACTCTTTTGGTTCTCTGTTAAATAATACAAACTTTAGATTTCTCTTTTTGATTTCAGTTTCCTGAGCCTTTTCATCCACTTGTTTCCCTGGTGCCCAGATATCACAGAGAATTATCAGTCCATTAAGATAAATACTTCAGTATTTTGGCTACTCTACCTAAGCCCCAGCTCACAGGGGCTGAAGTTTAATACTTTTCTGTAAGGGGGAGGAAAAAGGAGAGAAAGGGAACCACAGTTCTTTTATAAAAATGCTGTCTTTAATATGGGAGACTGACATTACTCACCCTCCATCAATAGAGGACCTTTGCAGGTGACTTTTTTTAATAGTAAAGTAGAATATTCCATTTACCTGATCTCCCTGTGATTACAAGTTTATATTCGCAGAATGGTTATTTGGGAGAACTGGGGGGCAGGGGTGCTGGTCTGTGGCCTCAGAACATCACTGCTTTTTGTTCTACTGACTTCTTCAGCTATCCTGCCTGAAACCTTGACCTTATTAGCAATTAAGGCCAGTGATTCAGCTTTCATTCTTTTATATTTCTTCTCCTTATTGAAGGCAATCTAAAACTGGAATTATTTTAAATATGGAAAGCAGCCTAAATGCCCAACAATATTGAAAGAGTTGATTAAATTATGATACATTAACTCCATGGAGTGCTGTGAAGCTTTTGAAATTACTATAAGAGCCATTTAACAACAATTTAAAAGTCTATGATAAAAATAGAACTACCATATGATCTAGCAATTCCACTTCCAGGTATTTATTCAAAGAAAATGAAAACACCAACTCAAAAAGATATGTGCACCCTCATGTTCATTACAGGATTATTCACAATAGCCGAGAAATGGAAGCCATAGAGGATGAATGGATCAAGAAAATGTAGTATATACATACCACGGAATATTATTCAGCCATAAAAAAATAAAATCTTGCCATTTTGCAACAACACGGATTGACCTTGAGGGCATTATGCTAAGTAATGAAATAAGTCAGACAGAGAAAGACAAATACCATACGATCTCACTTATGTGAAATCTAAAACAAACAAAACAAAACAAAAAAGCAATCTCATAAATTGGTGGTTGCCGGGGGTGGGGCATGGGAGGTGGGAGAAATGAGTAAAGAGAGTCAAAAGTATAAGCTTCCCACTATAAACTAAATCATGGAGATAGAATGGACAGCATGGTGACTATAGTTAATAATACTGTGCTACATATTGGAAAGTTGCTAAGACAGCAGATCTTACAAGTTCTAACACAAGAAAAAAAAATTGTAATGTATAGTAATGTATGTTAACTAGACTTATTGTGCTGATCATTAGAGTCCACAAATACTGAATCATTATGGTATACACATGAAACTAATATAATGTTATATGTCAATCATACTTCAATTAAAAAAAGTTTGATATATTAAGTGAAAAAAAGTAGTCATATGTGTCCAGATACACTATGATTATAACTATAAAAATAAGGCTAGGGGATGGAACAAACAAATATTCTAAATTAATTGTGTTATAGTAGCAAAAATATGGGTAACTTTTTTCACCTACATCTATCAATCATAATTATGTGTTTAATTTTTTAACAATAATTATAAAGAAGAATCTCATTTAACATTTGAGAGCTCCAAATACAAAAATGATCCAAATGAGGTCCTCATCCCTGAAGCTATGTTCAATATTTCATTTCCCTTGGGGAGAATATATTGAGTATGGGGCTAGCCACTCCATCAATGCCCATCTTTTTCCAGTTAAGAAATAGGAGTTAACTGTTATAATTTTCCCTGCCTTTTCCTGAACTTCTGTGCCCTTTGCCATGTTTGTCGCCATGAAGTTTCCATTTTACTTCCGTGGTTAGAACATTCCAAAGGATAAGACCTGAATGATTGGGAGGTTGATAAGGATTACAAAGGCTATCATTTATAGCATCATTTATCAAAAGATAGATCCTCTATTTAAGCTAGAGAAGAAGACAATGTCAGAGCAAGAAAACTTTGGAGATTATCTGTGTATTTTTGGGTGTCATCATCCCATTTTAAAAGAAACCAGAGGCCCAGAATGATGAGGCATGTTTCCCAGAGTCTTAGAGCTGCAGAGCTGGGACTGTAAGCCCAGAGGGCCTGATTTTCCTTCTACTATAAGCTGCTTCCAGGAACTAGAGCTCCAGTCAACTGGAGAGAGGCCTCTAGGACAACCAACAGTAATGAGTAAAAAAATTAAACTGTGATAAAATTTCAACTGGAAAACAATCTTCTGTGTCTGCAAAAACATAATAGTCATTACCAAGCAAAATGAGCCATGGGAAGAGCCACAACCTAAAAACCAGAAATGCACTCTAAAACTCGACTGATTGTTCATCTTTTTCAGTGACAAACTTATTCAGATATAATTCACATACCATACAATTCACCCACCGGAAGTGCACAATTTGCCGGTTTTCAGTATGTTATAGAGCTGTACAGCCAAGACCACAGTCTTAGAACATTTTCATCACTCCAAAAAGAAATGCCATACCCGTTAAAAGTTATCACACACACGCCCCAGTTCCTCCGTCCCTAGTTATAAAACCACTAGTCTACTTTCAGTCTTTATAGTTTTACCTATTCTCAATATCTCATATAAATGGAACTACGCAATATGCTGTCTTCTGCAACCGGCATCTTTCACATAGCCTTGTGTCCCCAAGGCTCGTCCACACTGCAGCATGTGTCATTCCTCCCTTCCTCTGATTACAATCACCCAGACCCTTGCGGCCCAAGTGCTTTGTCCTTGTGACGCACACAAATGAACATGGGCAGATATGCACAGGGAAAAGGCAGGAGAGTGGTAATAAAAAAGATTTTCAGGCTTTTACTTTTCATACTTACTTTCATTTTGTAAAGCAGCCTCAGCCTTTTCGACAGTGACCAACAGATTTTCGGAAAGGTCTCTTCTCTTGCTCACTATTGGAAAACCATTCCAGACATACATCATCTCCTAATGAGGAAGAATGAAAAGCCATTTGCAATTATGTGAGGTTATCCAATGTCCTTTACAACAATGAAACTACTCTCTTGGTTGCTACGGATCTCAAGACAACATTCAGAGATCACTTTCCTTAGCTTTCCTTACTTGGAGTGTAGTGAATATAATTTCCCCTTTTCTCATTTTATTATATGCCTTTTGCCTTTAATACTATGAAGTAATTCAATATATACAGTATATTCCATTTTTACTGAAAAATTTACTCATTCATTTAAGCATCTACTACCGGTGTTCCATCCTTTTGGAAGATAACAGTTTACAAACACAAAAATAAATAGAATATTTTTAACTGATACTATGAACAATTGTATTCGATACAAAGTTTTGTTGTTACTTTTAAGTAAAGGGAAACATTTTTAAAATATCTGCCAATTGTTTACATAAAATGGTTCCAAGGACTTCACTGGAAATGAACATAGAAACTATTTTAATGGTTCTTTTATCCCATTAAAAACATGTGACAGTCCAGTGATCAACATACAGGAAATGCATTCACTTAAAGGCCATATGGCTGAATGACAGTCCCTGAAAATGTAAACTAATGATTTCTCATTGCAAATTAAATCTCATAGGCTAACAGATGAGAAATATTTTGGACCAGAAGCAAATATGCTTTTGCTTGAAAATATTTTTCTAACTTTCCTGGTAGTACAGTTCATATTTTTAAGGGTATGAAATAAGCAGGGTAATTAGTATCTTCTTCGAGATAAATGAATTTTAAAATATGGTAAAGATATTGTTTGAACAGTTCCTTACAGGGAAGTAGTGGAAATGAGGAAAATACATTCGAGGGGCAGCAAAGTCATCTCTACTCTATGGCACTGAAAATGAAGATCACAACACTCTAATTTTTTTTTCTTTACATCTAACAGTTTCTTATTGCTAATGGTGTACAAGCTCGATTCAATAATTAATGGAATAATTAACTGATGATCTTTAAATTTTGTTTTTATTGATAGACTATTTTATCAGAAGAAGGCAAGCTCACATCTGAGATTCTATGAAAAATAACATTTTGGTGAAATTCCTAGTTAACCACAAATTCAAACCAATTCTACACCCTTAAGCCTGTAGAAAGAAGTGCCCTGAGTTACCCTTCCTGAAGACCCTTACTGATCAAAGTAAGATATAGTTATGTACACACCAGCATCTAAGTTCTAGGGCACAGAAAGGGCTATTATGCTTTAGAAAATTTTCACGAAAGTTCTGTGACACAAAGAAAAAATTTCCCAGTGCAAATCACTTGATAGAAATCAATCATCAGGAACAGATCTAAAAGCTGTAATTGGTGAAACAGCAATAGGCTCCCATGTTAGCTGGAAAAGGGGGATGTTTGGTCATTTTTGTGATTTGCATGGTGTCCTGTTTTTATCTGTGCTCAGATTTGATGACAGAGTGCTACTTTTGTCTCATCCCATCACAGGCACAGAATAACCTGCTCTGATGGTGGTGCTCTCTGAGATTGTTGATCTCAAGTAGAGAACACCTGGACCTAGGTATAGGTTAGCTCCTATCTGACACCTGTTAGAGGCTGCAGTTTTCTTTCTCACAAAATATATAAAGAGCTCCTACAAGTCAATGACAAAACAATAAACAACCTAATGAAAAATTACATTAGTATATGAACAATTCACAAGAGAAGAAATAAAAATAATAAGCACATGAAAAGATGCTCAACCGTACCAACAGGGAAATGTAAATTAAAACAGTGAAACACTGTTGGTAGACATTTAAACCAGTAGAGCCTTTCTGGAGGGCAATTTGGCAGCGTCAAAATAATAAGTGTATATACCCTTCAACCAGGAATTCCATTTCTAGAAGTCTTTCCAGAGAATTATATGACCATGCACCAAAAAAAAAAACAACATAAAAGAATATTCATTGTAACATGTTAGTAATAGTAAAAACTGGAAACTAAACTATCAAAGGGGAATCACTGAATAAACTCTGGAATATTAAAAAAAAAAAAATCAAGAAACCCCAAAGGAGGACTGCAGACTTCAGCTTGCATTTAATGGTTTTCCTGTGCTGACTACCTACGCAAAACTAAAGCCCCAAAGAGCCAGAATAATTTGATATATTCAGTACTTTTAAAGAAGTATTCACTAAAAAAATTTAAGTGGAAATTATGCTTTTCATGAAGTCTACTCTAAACAGCATCACGATTAAGAATGTGAGCTCCAGGGGCACCTGGGTGGTGCAGTCGGGTAAGCACCCACTCTTGGTTTCGGCTCAGGTGAGATCTCAGGGTCGTGAGATCGAGCCCCGCGTTGGGCTCTATGCTGAGCATGGAGTCGGCTTGAGATTTTCTCTTTCCTCTCCCTCTGCCCCTCCTGCTCACGTTCAAACAAACATTTTACATATATTGGGTTAAACAAAATATATTCTTAAAATTATTTTCATGTTTCCTTTAATTTTTTACATTTTTTGACATTTTAATTTTTAATGTGGCTACTTAGAAAAGGTAAAATCATCTAAGTGGTTTGCATTAGAATTCAACTCAACTTTAATTAAGCCAACTCACCTCTCTGCCTGAATTTCCTTATCTGTAAAATGGGGCTAGAAAGTACCCCCATAGAGTTACTGTAAGAATTAAATTATGTATTTTTTAAAATAGCCTTTCAAAAAATATTAGACAACAGATTTTTTTGACTATCGTAATGCCTAGAACCTGCCAAGTAGTCAAAAACATTAGCTATAATTTTTATGATTATTAATAATTCGTAAATGTTCACCTTACAAACACCCTTACAATGGCGTTTAATTGAGCTAAACTTCACAGCAAACAGCTAAACCTCACAGGTGTGCTTCCTGCTGTTATGAACAGATAATTTCTAAAACACGAACAGTAAATAAAATAAAGGCAGATACCAGGGCAGGCACGATGAGCTTCACGGGTGCAGGCAATGAAGCAGAGTAACGACGAGACTTCCTGACAGCAAACTTCTCCGTAGGGATAGATTTCCCCGCAATTCGCTGCTTCAAGCTCTCCACCTGTCTGTGAAGGGCCCAACCCCAGCCCCAGCAAAAGGTCAGTAGAACACATACGTAACTGATACCTGCAGTTCTCACACTGTGCTCCGGCATGCTCCAGCAGCAGCAGCAGCATCTGGAGATGTGTTCTAAACGCAAATTTTCAGGGCGCCTGGGTGGTTCAGTCGGTTAAGCGTCTGCCTTCAGCTCAGGCCATGATCCCAGGGTCCTGGGATCGAGCCCCGCATCGGGCTCCCTGCTCAAGCAGGGAGTCTGCTTCTCCCTCTCTCTCTCTGCCTCTTCCCTGGCTTGTGTGTGCTCTCTCTCTCTCTCTCAAATAAATACACAAAATCTTTTTTTTTTTTTTTTAAGATTTTACTTACTTGTCATAAAGAGAGAGAGAGCACAAGCAGGGGGAGTGGAAGAAGCAGTGGAAGTGTGAAGTGGGGGTTGAGGATCGGAGAAAACATGCTTTGGACAGGAAATCGTCTGGTTTGAAGACTGCAGAGTCTGGGCGACTCTCCTCTCGTTATCCCAACAAATTAGATGCTGTCATATAGCAGACCTCAAGCTTTCTCCTGAAAATAGGACTGGTTACATGTTTCACAGAAATTGTTTTGATATGGAGAAAATTACTCTAAAGTAGAAGAAACAGAGGGAGATTTAAAAGATTTCAACATATTTTAATATTCCATTCCATTCCATCCATTGTTCGTGTGAAACATGACATGCATTTTATCAGTAAGATGTGGCATGAATCCTACCATGGCTTCCACTGATGTTGATTCTATAGTTAGTAACATGGTCCTTTTTTCAAAAAGAGCTTTTAAAGAGAAGGTGAAAGAGTGGTCTTGGCCGTATCTTCAGATTTGCCCTGACAAGTCTTGAGGGGTCCAGCTAAGATAATATTTCTCATAAGATGGGCACCGAATGCAGGATTCCATGTAAAAGGTTTTGTCATTAATTATGTTTGAAGAATGTAGCAGAGCTTCTGCATTCCTGAACTTCCTCATCTCCAGTGGTCAGCTCCTCCCCTCTACCACAGCCTCCCGCCCCTGCAGTCCTACCTTAAACCACACTTCGGCACCTGTGACTTTTCTACCTCGAAGCACAAATTCAAGCACACCACTCTGAATACCATTCTCTTCATTCTTACTTGGCTGTTCTAGTAAGACTGTGTCAGTCTACTGGCCCTTCAACCTTCTTCCTATCCGTAATCTCCCTCTCTCTCACTGTGCCTCCATATTCCTGCTTAGATGGCCCTGACCTTTACTGCTACACGCTCTAGCCTCAGTCCTAAACTCCCTCGTCCACTGCCTAGTCACCATGCTCATCTGGCAAAAACCCAACCCTGGATGAGGCTCAGTGTTCATTTTCCCTGCACCTGCACTGTGAGCAGACTGTAAAATCACTGTAAATTAATCAGCACCGACCTCAAATGGGCCCTTGCGCTACCAGCCATTCCTCCTACAGTGTTTCCCTCATAACTCCACCATCCCAATCTCTGCAACAATGATTTCAAACATTCACCATCCCCCCCTCACACCTGCAGCCCGCTCCCTTCTCTTTCATTCTCAATAGAGGACCCTGCCTCCTATTTTGTAAAGAAAAACACAGGTGCAGAGCCCTCCCTCTCATGCTACAACTCATATGCTTGCCTGCCTCTGCACCTATTCTGGACTTCTTCCCTTCTGATACAACAGAGGACCTGGTCATCCTCCTAGATAAAACCAACCGTGCCATCAGTGCTTTGGATTCTAACTCCTCCAGTCCTTTCCAGACACTTAGAAACATCAATTATCCCATTTCTTGCTTCTATGTGTAACTTTTCTTCAACTGGATCCTTCCCAGTGGTTCTTGAGAATGCTCACAACTCTCCCATTAAAACATTTTCTGACATGACATCTCCCTCCAACTACCACTCTCTCTCTCCCTTCCCCTTCATAGTCAGAATTATCCAGGGATGCATTTATGCTCAACTCTGCATTTCTTTTCTTCAGCCACCTCCAGTCTGACTCCCACCTCTCCTCGATGACCTTATCAGCCCCTGCTAGGGTTACCAATGATCCTTGTCACTCTGTCTTATTTATAAATGGAAGACTGTGTTCTCGGAGACATATTTTGAGTCACCCTTGACCTTTCTTTTCTTTTGACCCATAAACAGCTGACCCTTGAACAACATGGGGATTAAAGGCACCAGCCCCCCCACAATTAAAAATCCACATATAGCTTTTCACTCCCCCCAAATTTAACTGTTAGCAGCCTACTGTTGACCAGAAGCCTTACTGATAACATAAACAGGGTTGATTAACACTTATATTGTATGTTGTATGTACTAAATACCATACTCTTACAATACAATAAAGTAGGCTAAAGAAAAGAAAATGCTATTAAGAAAATCATAAGGATGAGAAAATACATTTTCAGTATTGTACTGATTGAGAAAATCCACGTGTAAGTGGACCCACGCAGTTCAAACTCATGTTGTTCAAGGGTCAACTGTACATTAAATGTGGCATGGTGTCCTATCAAATATCACCTTTTAGTTCTTTAATGTGCAGTGCTCCTTCCTGCAACAGGCTCATCTCACATGTTGTTCCTTGGTCTGAAACTATACCACCCACAACTCCCTGCTGCCTCAGCAGCTCCTACTCCACCTTCAGATATCATCTCAACCATTACTGCCTCTACGTGCATATACATACTCCTCCTCCCACTGGGGACTGGGGGACACAGTGGGTAGTGTTGGCAATGCGGGTATTATCAGTTTCTGGCTTGCTAACTGTGGTCCCAATCACCAAAAGAGGAAAGAATACCAGGTTTGCTCAGGAAGACTGAACATGGTAAGTTTAAAATGTTTTTGGGGCACCTGGGTGGTGCAGTTTGTTAAGCATCCAACTCTTGGTTTTGGCTCAGGTCATAATCTCATGGTCCTGCGATCAAGCTCCACATCTGCTTGGCACTCTCTCCCTCACCCTCTGCCCCTCCCCCGCCCTCTCTAAAATAAATAAATAAATAAGATCTTTTATAAATAAATTAATTAATTAAAAAGGGGTGCCTGGATGGCTCAGTAGTTAAGCGTCTGCCTTCAGCTCAGGTCATGATCCCAGGGTCCTGGGATGGAGCCCTGCATCGGGCTCCCTGCTAAGCAGGAAGCCTGCTTCTCCCTCTCCCGCTCCCCCTGCTTGTGTTCCCTCTCTTGCTGTCTCTCTCTCTGTCAAATAAATAAATAAAATCTTTTAAAAAATAAATTAAATAAATAAATAAACAAACAAAATGGTTTCACACATCCAAGGAAAGGTGACAAATGGGAGCTGGCTATATGGGTCGAGAGCCTAGTCACTATCAGGAGGTCTGAACAAGGGACTTAAACTTCACCTGGCTGAGATTTCCTGAGGTTGAGGCTCTAAGACATCAACATTTAAAACCTGGATAAAACAGGATGAGCCTACAAAGATACTGAGAAGGAATGGCAAGAAAAGTAGTAAGGAAAAAAATTACTCATGTATTATAATTTTGCAATTATTTGTGTAATAATTTCACTGATGTCTGGTTCCACTACAAGATTATAAACTCCACAAGGACAGGAGCCATGCCTGTTTATACAACACCTAACATGGTATCCTTCACACAGCAGGTGTTCAAAAACAAGGTTACAGATGACGGATGGATACTGATCTAAACAAAGTTAAATAGATTCGTTCACGGCAGACCTTCTCTGAATATGGTTTTTAAGAGTGCCTGCATTGAATGAATAGAAATTAAAGAAGATATGAAGGTAAAGTCTGGGAGAACACTTAGAAAAGAAAGATGTATCCAGGATCTTTGTTATAGCAATAGTGCCTTGCTTACCTGAATAAAGTTACTATATCCTCTTTAGTTGTTACTACATCCTCCTCTGGAAGCATACTCAAAATTGCAGCTTTCAAGAACACATATGTTGCCTTGAGGAAAAGGAGAGAAGCAGCTAGTTATAGGGCATCTCTAGGTACATGACATTTCTATCTTGCAAGTCGGGAATGACCTACAAACTGTTCAGATGTAACATTTAAAAGGCATCAAAGAAATAAAAGGAACTGAAGTCTTATACTGCCTATTCCTATTCGGAATAACACTTTTCAGTTAATTTTGACTATTTTCCTATTACACAACTGTAGCATTTATGGGCAAGAAAGCACACAGAATGAACAAGAAATCATCTCATTTCTCCCAACTTCTCACAAATAGATCAGAATCAATTTTAATTATTACGAAAAGCCTTGTCATCAGGGCATCATAAAATCTACAGAAAAATTATCAAGACTGTTGATACTGAATAACTTTTAAATGTAAGTGCATTTCATCCTCAGAGGTAAAACCTCTTTGTTAAAAAGCACTGTTTGGATGGCTTTTAAAGCATGTAGTGCTAAGGACAGTGCTTATAAGCAGTAGGTACTTAATGCCTATTTCCTCCTTTGATGAATCCCTAAGTTGAGAAAGTAGTGTTGATGTCATACTTCTGACACTACATCAACATTTTTAAAGAAAAATCATCCTGGACACTTACTGGCAAACAGAGAATAGTAATGAAAGCATAGCACTTTACCTTGGACCATTTACTTTCTTTGCAAAGCAGATCGGAATAATAATATGCCTCCATCCAGTTTTGTTGGAATACATAAATCCACATCAGCTCCCAGTAACAGAGATGGTGAAATTGTTTCCATTCTTCTTGAACTGAAATGCATTTTCGAAATATCTCTTGTGCCTATAAGTCAATTGCATAAAGCTGATCATCCAGATATTACACAAGGAGATAATAACCTAATGGAAAAATACATAAATCACTTTGTACAAAAAGAACAAAAGCATCGCTCATTAAACCACTCAATGTGATGATACATGTTCCTTTCCCTACATGCAATTAAGTTCTGCCTCTTGATTTAGCTTTGTGAGGGGGCTGTGAGACTTTATATGTGGGAGAAGTGAAGTTCCTTCCCAAGGAAGATATAAAATGCAGAAGTCCTTTACCAAAGGACTGAAAATAAAAGTCAGAACTCCCAGAAGTTAAAATACACCTTAAACAAAGTTAAAGGCAGACTGGGAGAAGATATCACTACATCCACAACTGGCCAAAATTAACCCTTATCATACAACAATTTAATAAAATCCTTTAAAAAAAGACAACTCAATGGGGAAATTGTCAAAGATATGACTAGGTAATCAGAGAAAGAGATATACAAGTGACAAACACACATGAAGAAATCTGTAAACTGAAAAATATAAACTTAAAAATTAGATTTCTGGGGCACCTGGCTCAGTCGGTTGAACATCTGACTTTTGGTTTCGGCTCAGGTCATGATCTCACTATCCTGAGATCAGGCCCCACGTCGGGCTCCAAGCACAGCACAGAGTCTGCTTGTCCCTCTCTCTTCCACTCTGCCTCCCCGCCCCACTCCTGAACGAGTATGTACATGCTCTCTCTCTCTCCCTAAAATAAATAAATAAAATCTTTTTAAAAATTAGATTATCATATTTTGGCTATGACCTGGGCAAAAATACAACAGATAATGTGCAGACTTGCCAAAGTGCATTGGAAACAAGTATTCTTGTATCTTTGTAGGAGTTGAAATGGAATAACCTTAGTTAGAAGGTCAATTTGGCTAAATTTAACAAAATGCAAACATCTTTGACCTAGAAATCCTGATAATCAGAATCTGTCTTATATAAATATACCTGTGCACAGAAATATACACATGACGATGTTTACAACACTATTTATAGTAGCCAAATGTCTATCAATAGTGAACTGCTTTACTAAGTATCATATATCCATCTCATGGAATGAAATCCAGCCATCAAAAAGAATGCAGGAGATTTAGATATACTGACCTGGAAAGAAATCCAAGATGTATTGTAAGTAGAAAAAAAAAAAAAAAAAAAAACAAATCAAAGAAAAATACGTATGTTTGACCTCATTTGTGTAGAAGAAAATTATTTGTGTGTATACGTATATGAAAAGCTCCATAGTCGTCTTCTTCAAGAGAATTAGCGAATGATTTCCTTTGATGAGGAGTATGTGCAGTACAGTGAGGCTGTATCTTATTCAGGGGCTCGATCCCAAAGTCAATATGCAATACAGAAACTGCACTCCCTTAAAGGTGCCCACTTGTATTTTGTATATTCTACTCCGAGCTGCCTCACATACTTAATGTGTAAGTATAGACTGTATTCAGTAATCTACATATAGAAATGCATACACAAAATTAAAGTGGGGCGTTTTAATAACACATGTCATCTTTACTTCTGTCTAGTGCATACAGCTGAATTTTCTTATGCTGAATGAGTGTGACACAACTCCACCTTACAGACAACTCCCCAAATTACTCCCCCCAAATAAATTACCTCCTCCACATTCCCTTTGAGCAGCTCTATCCGGGCATGATAAAACAACATGAGGGAGCCCTGGGGAGAAAGGAATCAGAGAGACTGATCAGTGGTCAGCCCCGCCTGACAGGTTATGGCTGAAACATGTACTTGAAATTCTAAGCATACGTTTGGGAACTGCTGGAGGAAGGGTGCAAGAAGACTCTCTGCTTCCACAACATTCACTTCTCCTGTACCTAGAAATTTAACAGGAAAAGCCTCAGTCTTCACAACAGGGTAGATACTTAAAAGTAATTCTCCACATTTCAGTAAAATATAGCAAACACCTATTCATGGAAAAGATAAGAACTGTTAATTTGGCAAGACAAGTCCCACCCATGACTTTAGTTTAAGAAAGCTCTAGGACCGACTAATTCTTAAGAATGGAAGGAGTTATCGTTGAGTCCTAATTGGGCTTTCTGGTTTTCAAAGCAATATTAACTTAGCCCAAAATTTAATTTTCTACTCAAAAAGAAATCTTATATGAATATGCTAAAACAGATCAACTTAAACAAATTTTACAGAATGTTTTTAGCAGAGAACAGATACAAAATATTCAGGGAAAGAAACCCTCCACCCCCTCTGCCAAATGTTACTATGACAAATGTCACTATTTTGCATCTTTACTCAAAAAAAGAAAAAAAAGTAAACAGATACAGACTGCTAGCTCTTAGTGATTTTTTTTCTAATTGTTTTAATTGAAATATAATCAACAAACAATGTTATGTTGGTTTCGAGGGTACAATCTAAATTTTTTACTTACTCAGATGAAAGGTAATCTATCTTCAATGACATAAAATGTAATCGGTCCTTACCAAGGATTAGGGAGATGTAAGTATGAAAAGCTAGTATAGTTAAGCAGCACAGCGGAGACCTCATGCTTCTTCCTGATGCACCTTCCTGTAACTGCAGGAGGCCCAACTCCTGCGGGAAGCAAATGCATTTCAGAAGGAGAAAACATGACTGAAAAATCACATTCAGATACTACAGAGGCAGAGGCCAAGTTCCTGTGTCCCCCCCTCCAAGAAGGTGGGGTTTATTTTTTAAGAGCTTAGAATAGGGGCAATGCCTGACCAGAAACAAAGTTTACATTTTATTTATTTATTTTTTTAAAGATTTTATTTATTTATTTGACAGAGAGAGAGACAGCAAGAGAGGGAACACAAGCAGGGTGAGTGGGAGAGGGAGAAGCAGGCTTCCCGCGGAGCAGGGAGCCCGATGCGGGGCTCGATCGCAGGACCCTGGGATCATGACCTGAACTGAAGGCAGAAGCCCAACCACTGAGCCACCCAGGCGCCCCACAAAGTTTACATTTTAAACTGACATAAGGGGGCGCCTGGGTGGCTCAGATGGTTGAGCGTCTGCCTTCGGCTCGGGTCATGATCCCAGGATCCTGGGATGGAGTCCCGCATCGGGCTCCTTGCCCGGCGGGGAGTCTGCTTCTCCCTCTCCCTCTGCCTCTCCCCCTGCTTGTTCTCTCTCTGTCTCTCTCGCAAATGAATAAATAAAATCTTTAAAAAAAATAAACTGACATAAGATGATCTCACAAATTCTTTCATATTATGTGATTCTACGGAGAGGACAAAGGCAGTGCTCATTTCATAGAAATGTTGTATTTCTCTGGTAAAAATATTAATTTATTAAAACATGTTGAGGATCTAAGTGCAAGGCATTATGGTGGGTATGAACAAATACAGGTTTTTTTTTTAAACATTTTTTATTTAAATTCAATTAATTAACATATAATGTTTTATTGGTTTCAGAGGTACAGGCCTGTGATTCATCAGTCTTATATAATACCCAGTGCTCATTACATCACATGCCCTCCTTAATGTCATGAACAAATATAGTTTTGTCTTCAAAGGTAATTTGTCCATCAAACAGGTAAGACACTACACGAACACACGGTTGTATTAGAATATGGTGAGTGCCAAAGGAAAGATAAATGATTCTGAGTCAGGAATACTTGAGCCTCACTGGGAGAGAATAAGGGAGAGTTTGAGGAATAGCTGACATTTATCTCAAACCTAATGGATGGAGAGGCTCTCAAGAGAACCTTATTTGAGAGGCTGCTGGCTAGGGAGGACATCCAAAATAGAGAATAGCAGCAGCACAGAAAACAGAAAAGCACAGGACCTGTCTGGGGGGATAAATAACAGCTTCTTACACTTGTCCTCATATAGTTCTCAAAACCTGCCCTCTTCACTAACAGGGACAGCTTTTGCAATAAGGCAACCCTGGTAATAGCATATTGAGTGTTAGGTTTAATTAATGTTATACATTACAAAAACAACCACACGGAACTATAATGAATGAGACTCCTGGAAAACAAAATTTCCTTGCTTAGTTTTATCATGAAACTTATAAAAGTGCAAGGAAACCCAAAATACTGTAACTATACTTGATCCATGTGAAACAAAAAACATGAGACATGGAAATCTAGCCTAATTTCCTGGTTTTACACAACACTCTGGGGTTGCTAAAAGGTTAAGGAAGAATATTTTAACCACACAAGAGTACTAAAGTCCAGCAAGTAGCAATGTTAGTAAAACAAAATTTTTAATCCCAGAACTTAGGTAACAAATATAAAAATTTTTAGCTTTCAATAGCAAAACCATCTCAGCTCCTGAAAAGTACTATCAAGACCCCAATGACTTTTTACTGTCCTGCAAACAAATTGTCAGTAATTGTCATGCTGGTCATGAGGATGTGCTGCATTGCCCTTGTATTCAGTAAATAATGTTTTATCTTTCCTGTCAAAATCAAGATAAAATTAAATGTGTACCCTGTTTCCTGAAAATCCTATAAATTCTAGTAGTCTGATAATCCGTGCTGGTAAAAGGGAGAGCATCTGCAAGAAGAAAAAAAAAGCATATTTGTTAGTGTATCTACAGATAAATATTAACCTCAAACAACTTAAAGTTTTAATAATTCAGTAATATGAAATATTAGAACCAAGTCTGAATCACTATACCTATCTCAATCATCACATATTGCACATATGACTTAATTTCATTTAGCTAAGACAATGAACCTAAAAAATTTTAAAAAACAAAACACACAACAATAACAACAAAAACCACAGCCTTTTCAGGACACTCTAGAGATTACTTGCTCCTCCTATGTGCAGTGATTAAGTGCTGAGAAGGTAATCCCTCAGTGCCCACTTCCAAACAAGATCTCTTTTAACCTCCTTTTCCAGAAAGCAAGTCTGTTGAATTCTGCATAATATGCAGGCATCACCCAAAAGTGAAGAGCATGGCACTACAGTTGCTTTCTAGCACATCCCTGGGGAGCAGCGGGGAGGGGAAAATCCAGCCAACGCAAGAACAGGTCACCTGCTTGTTCACTTTGCTTGGAAGGAGAAATGGCCACATGTGTGATTCTATACGGATTCATCGGCTGGAGCCAAAGGTTTGGCTGGATGGTCAGGGATTTGGAAGGAATATCATTGGAATATTAATGACAAGGAAGTCTAGGGAAGAGCACAGACCTCTCTGAATGAGCAAAAAACATGAAGATATTTGTGTCCAATATGACTGTTCACCAAAGCCTGACCTCAGGAGAGGAGGATTTAAATAATCAAGTGAATACGGTAATGACCTGTTCTAACAGCCAGCCAGCCTCTTTCCTCAGCCACCCCATCATTGCCAACTGGGCTCGTGAACTAAGTGGCCGTGGTGATGTACACACTCGTGTATATTATTCCCTTTACCACTGCATTTTCTCATTAGTTCCAGTCAAACCTTAATAAATTTCAAAATCTCTAAATAACATATTACAATTTGACAAATATCTACTCAAACTCTTTGTCGCCCTCACAGCATCAAAATCATGCCTCAAGCTATATGGCTACTGCCTCACCCATTTTCAATTCCAGAGCCACCATTGCTAAAGCAACAATATTTCTGATGTGGAAATGGAACCGGATTCCAAACTCCTTATTACCAAGTATGTTGCTAGTCCAGGCAGAGTGATGCATGCTTCTCCTCTTGTACAATCCAAACCTACTCTGAGCATGTGCAGAACTTTACAACGCATACTGGCCAAAGTCACCACTGGGTCACAACACAAAAAAAACTGATCCCACTCTAGCGACTTGTCAACCAAACCCAGGTAAAGGTTCACACACAGTAGAGAAGGCACTGGAAACCTTAGGTTCTTTTATTTTTTATTTTTTTTTAAAGATTTTATTTATTTATTTGACAGAGAGAGAGACACAGCGAGAGAGGGACCACAAGCAGGGGGGAGTGGGAGAGGGAGAAGCAGGCTCCCGGCAGAGCAAGGAGCCCGATGCGGGGCTCGATCCCAGGACCCCGGGACCATGACCTGAGCCGAAGGCAGACGCTTAATGACTGAGCCACCCAGGTGCCAACCTTAGGTTCTTTTAAAAAGGCTTCTGGCAGCTTTACAATTATTTACTTACCAAATTAAAGGCACCAATTCCAAGCTTGACACCCCCTTCAAACTCATAGAAGAACTGCTGTTCAACTTTGTTCTTCTGAATTACATGCAGGATAGAAAGACATTCTCTGGATTGAAGACAAAAGTTATTGCGTAAGTTTTACTATGGCTCTGAAAATTAATGTGAAGTCAAATTTCACACTGACACGCTGTAAGATAAATGTCATTAGCCAAAATGCTCCGGGATTTTTCAATGGAGGCGGCTGTGCTGAGTTTAACCTTAAAGGCAACTCGGGTAATAGTCATTAAGGAAAAACTGACACACCCATTTCTGCCTGGTTTATCAGGACCAGTTTTTCTGGGCTGAAACGAGACAGGGTTCGAACATCAGCACGCAGGACTCCAGAGCCCCAGGACCACAGAGCTGTGACCTCACAGCTTTCCAGCAAAGTCTCACAGAAGACTTCTCAGGGGTGCTCCGTCTCTTGGTTGCTGTGCACGCTTGAGCAACCCTACCTTCTGCCAAGTACCTGAGGAGCTGCTGCCAAAAAGATGTGAATTTCAGTGGGATGGCCATGATCTCAAATAGACCAAATAACTTAGAGCTTGCCAGTAGGAAAGGCTGAAAGAGGACAGCAAATTCCATCAAACTGCACCATTTGTCTTTCTTCTTTCTACTCCATCCAAGCAAATCTTTCCGATTTCTCATTTCAATTTCTTTTCTGTGCATTTCCCCCCTTCCCTTCACATCTTCAAAAGGCAAATACTTAATCAGAGAAAGGCAAATTAAAACAATGACAAAGAGATAAAACTTGGTAACGAACAGGAACTGCTTACCAAATTGACAAATATTTTTTTAAAGGCAGTAAGAAATAACCAGACGTTAGGTATCACCTTTTGTAATATAATTATAAAGCGTACAACTTCATTTATGATGTAGTCTAGCCAAATTTATTTAACCTGAATCCAGTAAGCCTACAGATCTAATTGCCAGCTTATAGGAAATATTAAGCGCTAAAAGAATGCTATGGACTGAATTAATTATGCCCGCCTCCAAATTCATATGTTGAAGCTCTAAGCCCCAGTGTGAGGATAGATGAAGATAGGGATTTTTAGGAGGTAATTAAGGGTAAGGTCCTAATCTGAAAAGACGGGTGACCTCCGAAGAGAAAGAGAGAGAGAGCATCTCTCTCTTGGCCCTATAAGGGCTGAGTGAGAAGGTAGTTATCTGTCTGCAAGCCTGAAAGAGAGCTCTCTCCAGAAGCTGATCATGCTGGTACCCTGATCTTAGACTTCCAACCTCCAGAACTGTGAGAAAATAAAATTCTGTTCTTTAAGCCACCCTGTCTGTAGTATTCTGTTACGGCAGCTTGAACTAACTAAGACAAAGAACAAGCTAAATGAAAAGTCAAGAAAGCCATCAAACAAATCCATGGGATATTCTGCAGGACAACTGGCTCGGGCTTTTCAACAACCATCATGAATATAGAGACTGTTCTAGAATAAAAGATATTAAATGGACATAAAAAGGGGATGCAGTAGACAGTCTTGTGTTGCATCCTGGTATAGACATACCAGCAGTAAGAGAAATTTGGGGCCAACCAGGAGAACGTGAAGATAGACTAAGTATTACATGAAATGAAGATTTATTGACATGGAAAAGTAAAGAACACTAACTGAAAAAAGCAGGTTACAAAAGAGTATGCACATTAAAAAGAACATATATCTTTAGATTTGGATAGAAAAAATTCTGAAGTAATATATACTAAGGTTTTGCAGCCATTATCACTGTGTGAAAAGAATATGGAGTATGTATGTTAATAGCTGCTCACCTACATTCCTAAATATATATGCCACTTTTGTGATAATAAAGCATTATTTTAATTTTTTTAATGGAAAACCAGTGCTGGCAAAGGAAAGAACAAATAGACATATTCATCTACTTTGGTAAAAGGTAGTTATAGTATGGAGATTGGCAAATTATGGGGACATAAGCATGCTCATTCATTCATTTATTGTCTATGGCTATTTATACTCCAAATAGAGTTAAGTAGTTGCAACAGAGATCTTATGACCCACAAGCCAAACATATTTACCATCTAGCCCTTTAAGAAAAAGTTTGCCAACCCAATTATTTTTCAGAATAATTTTGCAATATATATCAAAAATCTTAAACACAGGTGTACTTTTGACCCAATAAATCCAATTTTATTCTAAGGAAATAGCATGGATAAACACAAAACTTAACTGTAAGGAGAGATACTGTATTACTATTTATAATGAAAATGTATAAACAAACTAAATAGGCAACAATGGGAAATTAAGAAGAGTCACATGAGTGCATATATTTATACATACACACGTGTGGTGTACCCACATAATAGAATGCTATGTAGCCATTAAAACCCATGATGAACTAAAAGCATTTGATGACCTAAATTTTTGTGACATGAAGTGAAAAAGGAAATTTCAAAATGACATGAAGTATATGATTTCATTACATAAAAAGATAATTATATATGCTCATATGCACGCATTAAGAATGCAAACATGAAAATATCAATAGGATGGCAGGAGATAGAAATGATTTTCAGAAATCTTTTCTTTTTTTTAGAATTCTTTTTTAGTCAAAATATAAATGTTCTATTTTTTTATTATTATGTTATGTTAATCATCATACATTACAACATTAGTTTTTGATGCAGTGTTCCATGATTCATTGTTTGCGTATAACACCCAGTGCTCCAAGCAGAATGTGCCCTCTTTAATACCCATCACCAGGCTAACCCATCCCCGCACCGCCTTCCCCTCTAGAACCCTCAGTTTGTTTTTCAGAGTCCACAGTCTCTCATGGTTCATCTCCGCCTCTGATTCCCCCCCTTCATTCTTCCCTTCCTGCTATCTTCTTCTTCTTCTTTTTTTTTTTAACATATAATGTACTATTTGTTTCAGAGGTACAGGTCTGTGATTCAATATGACCTCACTGATATGAGGAATTCTTAATCGCAGGAAACAAACTGAGGGTTGCTAAAGTGGTGGGGGGGGTGGGAGGGATGGGGTGGCTGGGTGATAAATGTTCTATTTTCTGATAATAGATGATTGTTACAAAATTTTCAAATAACATGGAGACGGCATAAGTGCCCCTGCATGACTATCATGCAGAGAGATAGTCACTGTTAACAGCCTGGTACATAACCTTCTAGGTGGTTTCATGCTTTAGTAAGAATCCAATCTTTAAAAACCACAAATGGGATTATATAGTATATACTGTCCTGTAAGTTATATTGATGATTTTTCCATGAAAATGCATGAGAGCTACCTTATTTTTAACAAGTGCGTATTATCTTATTCTATGGAATAATTTATTTAACCAAATTCCGTTGTTAAATATTTACATTGTTTCCAAATTTTCCATATTATAAACAATGTTGCTAAAAGTGTGCTTGTACATTCATCAAGTACTTTTCCTACATCAAGTACTGTAATTATAGTTAATCTATCACAACTATCCTTAGGATAAATTCCTAGAAAAGGGACTTCTGAGATCAAAGGTGATACACTTTCTTAATTTTGATACATACTGTCAGAACATCCTTCAGGAAAACTCTTATCAGTTTAGATTCCCACCAACTTATGAGCTCCTCACACTGTCATTTTCCCTGAATCATTTGTATCACATTTCCATTTGTATTTTTTATTATGGTATATTTTGCCCTGACAAAAACTGAAATGTTTATTTGGTCAAGTCAGTCTTTTATGGTTCCCGATTTTGTCACACTCAAAAAGGCTTCTGAAATTGACATCATGTATCTGCTGATACGATACACTACAGAAAGACACAATATCACTTGTATGGTATTCTTGCCATAGATGCGAAATCTGGATGTAATCATGAAGAAACATTAGATTAGATTAGTCCCCGCTGAGAGACATTCTACAAAATAACTGCCCAGTACACTTCAAAAATGTCAAGATTATAAAAATAAAGAAAGACTGAGGGACACTTCCAGATTAAAAAAGAGTGAAGAAACATAACTAAATGCAACATCCCCAACCCTGAATTCAATTCTGAGCCAGAAAAAGGACATTAGTGGGACAATTAGAGAAATCAGAGTAAAATCAGTGGAGTAATTGATAATACCATATCAATGTTAGTTTCTTGGTTTTAATAATTATTACTGTGGTTCTATAAGATGTCAACATTTGTGACTCTGGATGAAGAATATATAAAAATTCTTTGTGAAAATCCTGAAGTTATTTCAAAGTGAAAAAAATTTAAATAAAAGTTTAAAGGCTTTTGTGTTTTAGGCTATAAAAAAATTTTCCTTATGTTTTCACTACTACCCTTTGAAAAATATTTTAATATTAGAGAAGCCTGGGTGGCTCAGTCAGTTAAGCATCCAACTCCTGGTTTCAACTCAGGTCATGATCTCAGGGTTGTGAGACTGAGCCCTGTGTTGAGCTCTGCTCAGCACAGTCTGCCAGGGATTCTCTCTCTCTCTCTCCTCTTCCCTCTACCCCTCCTGCTCACGTGTGCTCTCTTCTCTCACACAAAAATAAATGAGAGAGAGAGAGAATGAGAGAGAGAGCTTGAGGGGGGGAGGGTCAGAGGGAGAAGCAGGCTCTCTGCTGAGCAGGGAGCCCCATGCGGGACTCGATCCCAGGACTCCAGGATCATGACCTGAGCTGAAGGCAGTCGCTTAACCAACTGAGCTACCCAGGCGCCCTTAAAAAAATTTTTTAATATTAAATATACATGGAATTTATTTTCATGCTTTTTTTTCCAGAATGAAGAACCAATTGTCCCAAAAAGTATCTATTTTTCCCACTATTTTGAAAGAGACCTATGTATACATAGGAATTTCACATATTTTTAATTCCCAAGTAAATGTCTGTGTGTATGTACAAAAGTACATGCATGCACACACTGATAGGTTTGTGCCATTTTAAGTCTACTTGAATCCATTACAGTTTTTAAGTTTTGATGACTAGAAAAGCAATTAGCTCTTTAACATCCTTTTAAATCATCTGAAAGTATTTGTTTACTCAAAAATTTTATTTATTTATTCATGAGAGACAGAGAGAGAGAGAGAGAGAGGGAGGGAAGCAGAGGCAGAGGGAGAGGCAGGTTTGCTACTCAGCAGGGAGCCCAATGCAGGACTCGATCCCAGGACCCTGGGATCATGACCAGAGCCGAAGGCAGATATTTAACCGACTAAGCCACCCAGGCATCCATATCATCTAAAAAGTATTTCAAGAGGGGCGCCTGGGTGGCTCAGCCAGTTAAGCGTCTGCCTTTGGCTCAGGTCATGAACCCAGGGTCCTAAGATTGAGCCCTGCATTGGGCTCCTTGCTCAGCAGGGAGCCTGCTTCTCCCTCTCCTACACCCTCTGCTTGTGTATGCGCTCTCTCTCTCTCTCTCTCTCTCTGTCAAAAGAAAAAGAAAAAAAAAAACCTTTAAAAAAAAAAAGGTATCTCAAGAGGAAAACTAAAAACAATTGGTCAATTTCCCAAAACTGCCCCCTACCTCCATGATTTTGAATGGAATATAATTTTATAAAATCACCTTGGGTAAAATTATCTCTTAAAATACTAAATCTTGGTTCTGCTCTCACTAATGGGGATCTGCTTCTAATAATGACACACATACTATAGCTTATATTAGATTAACCTTCCCACAGATAACAATTATAACTTTGGAATTTAAATATATATTTAAAATGCATTTTCAGGCACTGGAAAGTGAAAACAAAAAGTAGTAAGAAACTGGAGAAGAGCTGAACTGTGAAAGATGGAACATCTCTCACACGGACTTTACATTTACGTGGCTAGTCAGCTGAAAATACTCTCGAATCCACTCAACGTGGGATGCATAGAACCAATACAGAAAGCCACAGTCCTATTGTTGGGGCGACTGGGTGGCTCAGTTGGTCAAGTGTCCGACTCTTGGTTTTGGCTCAGGTAGTGACCTCATGGGTCATGAGACTGAGCCCCAAGTTGGGCACTGTGCTCCGGGGGGAGTCTGCTTGAAGATTCTCTCCCTCTGCCCCTCCCCCCATGCTTGGGCGCACCACACATGCTCTCACCCTCTCTCTCTCAAATAAATAAATCTTTATGAAAAAAATTTGACACCGCATTGTGGGTCTTATAATATATGTAAGTGTACTATCATAAGAATAGTATAAAAGACAAGTGGTCAATGAAACTATATATTCACAAAGTTCTTACATTTTATGGGCAATAGTACAATATTAACTCTAAGTTGACTGGGTAAGTTAAGAAGGATATTATAATCACTAGAGTGACCTTTAAAAAAATTAAAGAGGTAAGCTTAGAAATCAATAGAGTGATTGATTACATTAGAATATATATATATTTTTTAAATTTTAGTAATGTAATAAAAGGCAAAAAAGAAGTGAGAAAACCAAATGAGGCAAGAGAACAAGAAAAATGGTGGCTGCAAGCGCAAACGTATCATTTGTTATACTGAATAAAAAAGCAAGACCCAACTATAAACATCTATAAGAACTGCAATTAAAATATAAAAACAAAGATAGGTTTAAAGTATAAGAATATATGTCATGCTACACTTACCACTAATTATAAAAATGCATGAGTAGCTATATTAAAAACAGACTTCAAGACAAATATTTCTTATAAGGAGTTAAGTAGAGACATTTCATAATGATAAAAAAGTTAATTCATTAGGAAGATAAAATAATTAAAATATATATAAACCTAATAACAGAGGCTCTAAATATACAATGCAAACACTGACAGAACTAAAGAGAGAGAAATGGGTGATCTCAGAATCAAAGTTGGAGATTTTGAACTCTGTGAGCAAATGAGAGAGCAACTAGATAAAAATCAGTAAGGATATAAAAGATACAGACAACACTGTGGTCCACCTTTGAATCACTGCAGAAAATTCTATCAAGCAGTGCTGCTCTAGAGTCTGGACCAAAGACATACCTATAATTTTAAATATATAAATTGATTTTAGGAGAGAGAAACTAAGATTATGTAATTAGAAATTATGTCGGTAGCTTTTTTTCAGCTATTTTTTTCAAGATTGCATTTAAACTTAAATTCTGTTGTCCTATAGCACTGAATACATACACAGTAAGCCAAAAAATCAAGTGCATTCTTACCAACAGCAAATAAAACCTAGTCATACTTCATGAGAACTTTGAAGTACGAACTGGACAGAACATAAGAATCATTTAAAAACAAGATCTTAATTTTTAACTTACTTATATATTTGGTAACTTGTCCTAATTTTGAGTCCACCCTTGATGAAGTTGATCATATTTTCATCCTGAAAACAATTCAGTTAAATAATTAGATCACTTAGCAAAAGATTCTTACACTGTACAGTTATGTATTTGTGTGATGAGAACAAAACACTATCTTTTGAGGACATAATTTTTAAATTAAAACATTCTTCTTGCTTTACATTTGAAATGCTCTTCTGTAATTTTCCTTCCAACTTAGATGGCAATAAAAAGAACACATTTTAAAAATCTCTGCATTACTTCAAGCAAGTAATTAAGGAAGTAACCCTTACCACTTAGTGGCCAAATATGTTAGTCCAAATCTACTGTGAAAAACATCATCTAATACGCAATTTTCTTCTGGGTTCAAAAGAATCCAAAATGGGTGATTTAAGGATATGCTCTAAGGACTTTCCAGTCCATCACACTCCAGTAAATGGGATGATGGTTCTTCTTTTGCAGGGTACTTCAGCATTCAGTCTATTTAGCACTGTAAATTTCACTCATATACATTTCTAGAAGAAAAATTACTGATCTGGATTCTAAACTGATCGTCACAATATGCAGTTTTGTTTTGGAGAAAAAAAAATCATTTCACTTTTCTTTGCCCGATGGTCATCAACCACAAAGTTGAGGCAGAGGGCCTAAATGAATTATCATTTTCAGGGTCAGCATTCTAGGATTCCAAGAGAATCTCTTAATAAATTATATCAAAACCTGCTCAAAAGAAGTTAATCTAACAGTGCGTAATGGAGACAGTCCCATATTTCACATTTCCAAGGAGAATATTTTTCTAATCTATTGATAATGGAGAGATGCTCTGGCATTTATTTCCTGTGCACTTCAGCATCCTTCTAAAGCAAGAGGAAAATTTACTTCAGCTTACAAATTTCATTAAATATTAAATCTTTACCATTTAAATTATTCTAAGAATCAATAAATACAAAATTCACTACACAACTTAAATGTTTATCGTCTTATTTAAGGAATCTTATGATTACACAAGTTCCAAGATTGGCCAGGAAAGAATTTCCAAAATCACATTAAAATCTGCCTCAAATAATAATATTTCGTTTCATGATTCACCAAACATTTACTGAATGCCTATTTTACACCAGGCATCTGAATGCAACATCAGTCAAAAGCAATACAAGGTGCTAAGGGCTGGAGTCATGCACACAGAAGGAGATATGCACAGGAGGTGAGGAGAGCTCAGAGCAGGGGAGGGGGTGACATGGAGAGGTCCACAGAAGCTTCCTGGAAGCATCGGGGCTTAAGGCACAAAAAATGATTGGGAAGTGGCCAGATGAAGGAAGGCAAAGCAGATGCGAACCTTGCGAGCCAGGGAATACTCAAGCGGAAGGAAAGGCAAGGAAGCATTAACGATCATGGCATGCTTGGCCATCTGTGCTTAGGTAAGTCAGCGCTGCCACAAAGTTCCCACAAAGACAGAACGAAGGAGTAAGAAAGCTACCTCTTCCCGTGGGGTAAGAGGGGAGGAGGGAATGTGGGAGAAGATACCAGTTTAGTTTGAAAAAGCCTCCCCCCCTTGCTGATATTCTGATACGGGACCACTGCCATCGTCCGTGAGAGGGACTCAGAGCTGAAGCAGAGCCATGAGGGGGTGAGGGTCTCATCCCTGAGAGGGCGCTCAGCTGCACAACGGACAATGAGCTGGAGGCTAAGAAATTAGAGCCAGAGGGTCACTAGGTCGCTGTGCCCTCTGGAGAAGAGCTGAAAAACACCCCCACTAGAACACTCAAGAAGGAAGAGATGGCGCTGCTAAATCCTCACAAGGTAAAAGAAACGTGAGCACTAAATGGATATGGAGGCATGAGGAAGAGGGAGGAGTCTTGGATATCTCCCAGATGTTTAATTACAAGTCCCCACATATAAAATAAGATTTCAAATCCCAGATTTGACTGTCAAATCCCCATTTGGAAAACACATCAGAAAAACCGGAGGGCCTCCATGACTAGCATTATGTTTCCCGAGGCAGTAAGAATGAGGTTTTCAACCAGACTTCATAATACATAGGGTTTTAGGAAACAGGGTCATAGACCAGATTGGTTCAATTTTACTTAACCGGAATCCAACCTAAGAAGTCAATCTCCAAGAAAAAAAAAAAAAAAAAAAAGGAAAGCAACTCTCAATACAATGTAAAACATTGTGATTGAGGAAGATTTTCAATTTTACAATTGCATTTTTGCTCCCTTCCAATCTTGACCCTACCTCTACCCCCAATGTATCCATCACCACCACCCACGGGGACATGATGTTAAAATCCACGTTTTCTTAGAAGCATTGGAAGATACAATGTCACGCAAGGCGCTGGTTATAACAGTTCCTAGACGTAAAATTAAAATTTCCCTTAAAGAAAGCTATTCATGGTTTGGTTTAATGACTTTTTAAATCTGCTCTTCCAAAGGAAGAAATAAAAGCAAGAAAGGGGCATGAGAATAGAAAGAGGGGCAAAAATCAAATCTGAAGTGTATATGAAAAGCTTGGCACTCAAAGCATGCATACCTGAGCTTTGCTGAATCATCTGGTGTAAGAAGGGAATGGCCAAGGATGAAAATGCCTCTTTGACCCGGGCCTGTAGCCTCTACCACTAGCAAATGCAAAGAGGGATAATCCCACTTCTCATACAGAGAAGCATCCAGAAATTCGGTGCAGTAGTTGCAAAACAGTTCATAAATTTATAAGGCAGTGGGTTCCCAATAGACTGAAATTTGGAACAGACTCCAAGTGCATTTGAGTAGGAACAAAGCTCCCTGGGGCCATTTTTCAGTCAAAGTTTATCAGAACAACAAGTATCTTCCATTACAAATCTAAGTCAAAAGAACGGAAGCACTGACATAGACTGAGCCCCATTTTTTCTGTGTGGTACTGGCAGGCTTCCCCGGCGTACTGATTCGAAGCCAAACATTTATTACCTGCACAAACGTGAGTGCTGCTTTCTGTAGGAGACACTCGGCATAACAGATTTCGGCATGCATTTCCTCTATTAAAAACAAATAAAATTACATTAAGGAAAATCCTATGTCCACAGTAATTGCTCTGAGATGTTCAGGAAAGACTCATAGCTCAAAGAACCCAAGAGAGACACAAAAATCTAGGTTGCTTTGGTACTTCCATAAAAGCAGAATGATGACCTCGGTCCTCAGTCCCTCGGCAAGATTTTCCTAGAACGTGTAAAAGGGTTTAAGGAAGTCATCTTTGGCCCCATTCAAATATAACTGCGAAGAGTCAGGTGCTTGGTGCCAGAGACCTAAACTCAGCTCACAAGAGGAAACCAAAATTTAAAAGTACTTAAAAAAATATTTTTTAACTTAACAGTTACATGTAAGTTTAACACAGTAATAGAAATTGAAAAAACTATCTTAAATTTATGAATTCTAGCTTCTAAAATATGAAGGTATGATAATCACGGCAATGATCAGACACCCCATTAACTTAAAAGAGAAAGCAGCAATTCTCTGAGGTCTGTGAACAAGTATGGACCAGCACGCCCAAGGCATGACTCCTCACACATCGAAGACATGATATAAAAAGAGCTCACACTAGCACAATTTCAGGCTATTTTGATCACCGAGCTATCTAGCACAGGAACAAAGCACTCACAAAAGGGACTCTGTAAAGCCATGTATATCCCAGGGACATATGGAATGCCCCAAAACACATGGCCTGTCTTCCTAAACAATACCTTTCACTTGCAGAGATTGGGGTGGGAGGGAAATCTTTGCATTTTTGCATAAACAAAATTAGCAGATTCCTGTTTTATCCATGGGATGCAAACTGGCATTTTATTTAAGTAAACGAGCTTGGGGGATTTAACAGCTTGGGGTGGAGGAAAGGTTCTGCCGTGTTGTGGGTATCCACCTCTCTCGGCTGCGGGCCACCTCATCTATAAAGTCCAGCTAGTACCGTCTTCACTTCACAGCTAAAGAATCAAATGAGGTGCTGCACAGACCTCACTATGGAGAGTGAGCACTGGATTTTTGTTAGCTACTTTCAGTACGATTACTGCCCTTGATCCACATTGGGCTTTTTGGTAAAAGCTCAGAAAGCAGGACATTTTTATGTGAAGTAAGTAGCTGAAAAATAGGGTCCTTCTGTGTTTGTGAGAATGCTGTTGGGTCAAAGTGGATAAGGGCTAGCGCTGTATTTCTTTCACTCACACACACAGACCCCATCCCCATCCCTGCCATCTGACACACAACAGGCTGGTTCTCACAAACTGGTTCCGATCCCTACCACGCTCATATGCCAAAGGCTGAATTTACAAAGAAGCAACTAGGCAGTGAAGATCCTTCAGCGGCCTGCCTACAGATGGGGCCAGGCTTGCAGAGGCAGGGCCTTCAGCGGCCTGCCTACAGATGGGGCCAGCCTTGCGGAGTCAGGGCCTGTGCACATCCTGGCGGCCGTCACCAGCCAGGGTCTCGGTCCTTCTGAGTCTGTGCAGAGGTCTGAGCAGAAGGATTGGCTGCATCAGGGTTAAGTTAAAGATGGACACACCGCAGAGCAGCTAAAGGACGTGACAAGAAGGCAGAGATAAAAGGCACGAAAATTTGAACTCTGTATACCATATGTAAGCATCCTTCATGTTAAATCCCTTTCACATCCTAAGTACTGCATTTACGTGTCTGTTTTTAAAGGAAATTTGAAAACCATTCAGGGCAATATGCCAGTTCCGAGAGAAGAAAGGGTGTGTTCCATGTTAAACCCACGAAAAGTTTAATATACTGACTCCTGCAGACAACCAGCCACTCAAGGATGTAAATGAAAATTACCAAGAGGAAAAACAAATCACATACTAAAGCTACAATGTTTTGACATGCACCCTTGAACACAAAGTCTGTTTGGGTTGCAGTGACAGCCAAACTCATTAGAAATAAAATGCAACTTAATTTATAAAAGTCATATTCCTTCACTCTGGTTGACTTATATTGGGCAGTTCCCCAGTTCTCAAAATTAACCATTTGGCACTTATGAATAGATACCTTACCAGAACATCTCTTAATTATAAATTCCTTAGTCTACTGAAGGAAATAGCTTCACCCTGTGCTAAAATGTTAGCTAAGCATGCCTTTGGATGTAAAAGTCTAAATAAACCTGTTTTTTCAGAATACGCTATAGTCACAAGCTAATTTATGTTTACTGTTTTCTAATTAAGACTTTTCAAAGCAGTTTTAGGTTGGCAACAAAACTGAAGAGAAGGTACAGAAATTGCCCATGTATCCCTTGCCCCATGCATGCTTAACCGCCCCCTGATGAACTGATGAACTTCTGTTGACACATAATCACCCAACAATCCATAGTTCATGTTATAGTTCCTTCTTGGTGATGTACATTCTATGGGTTTGGACAAATGTATAAAGACATGTATCCATCATTGTGATATCATACAAAGTTTTCTCACTACCCTGAAAGTCCTCTGTGCTCCACCTATTCATCCCTACACCCCATTCCCCGGCAATCACTTATCTTCTCGCCGTCCCCCCAGTTTTGCCCTTTCCAGAATGTCATATGCTTGGAATCATACAGCATGACACCTTTTCAGATTAGTGTCTTTCACTCAGTAATACACATTTAAAGTCACTCCATGGCTTTTCATGGCTTGAGAGTTCATTTCTTTTTAGCACTAAATAATATTCCATTTGTCTAGATGTACCACAGTTTATTTATCCATTCACCTATTGAAGGATATCTTGGTCGCTTAGAAGTTTTGGCACTTATAAATAAAGCTGCTGTAAACATCCACATGCAGACATAAGTTTTCAGCTCCTTTGGGTAGATACTAAGGAGACTGATTGCTGGATTTATGGTCAAAGTATGTTTAGTTTTGTAAGAAATTGCCAAACTGTCTCCCAAAGTAGCTGTACAATTTTGCATTCCCACCAGCCGTGAATCAGAGTTCCTTTGACTCTACATCTTTGCCAACATTTGGTGTTGTTGGTATTTTAGATTATGGACATTCTAATAGGTGTACAGCAGTATCTCATTGTTTGTTTTCTTTTTTAATAGTTAGTAATAAGTAAATACGTAAATTATTCCAGATTTTCTGAAGTGCCATGTACAAAAACATTATAAAAAGATAAGAACACAGCACCATCTACTTTCAAGATGTCTAAAGAGGAATGATTCATCATTTCCCTCATCCATATGTGAACCTTTTTTTCCCTTTTCTACAAGCCTATCAGAGAAAGTGTGGGGTACAGTGGAAAGAACTGTGGCTTACAGAAAGGCAGATCAGCTTTGAATCCCACTCTGCTACATGGGGAATCCTGGGCCATTAACCCAACTATTGCCAGCGGTTACTTCTGCAGGGTGAGTATGATGGGAAAGAGAAAAAGATTTTCCATTTCCTTTTTATTCTACACTTAAGTACTGAACTTTATGAGTATGATCATGTTTTAATTTTCAAAGACAGGAAAAACTTCATCTTTAAATGAGTCTTACCTTCAGTCAGCTGTTCCAATGATCCCCTAGAAAGAAGACTTGAGAAAGATTCTACAACTGTGCATTTTTTCCTGTATCTGTGGACAATAAGCAGAAGGGGAGATGGGAAACAGAAAGAAAAAATGACAATAAATCAGGCCAGGCTCATTTTCCTTTGACATTCATTTTTGTCACAGTCACACCAAAGAGTTACCAAGGAGAAACTCTAAACCCTGAAGTCTGTAGTGCAGAGACCACCCTTTTTCAACACCGCACACCCAGCGCCAGCACTGGGCTAGCATCCTGTGGGCACTCCATCCGTGCTTACTGGACACGTGTGGACAAACCCACACAAAACAATGAATGCTAACCCTGCCAAGCACCTGCCCTTATCTGTATGGCTGAAATCGGTATTTCTGGGGTAAGAGGTATCCACAGGTTAAGAATCACTTAGAGGGCAGTATTTGGAAACTCTCTTCATTTGTAGGGTTGCAACATAATTACATGAGGACATAGTTTCATGTTAAACTTCACCAATGCTAGTTAACAGCTGTTGCTGGGGTCTTGCTATACACACAGAGCAAAGATTAAAATAAAACTGAAAATCCGTCTCATTTTCACCAACCAGAGGTGTTCAAATATGTCCTTTTAGGCAAATACAGCTCTCCCTTCTGAATAGGCAGCATCTCCCACATAAAAGAAGAGTGTTCCTTGCTCGGCCTCGCATGGCAGGCAGTAGCTGAAATCATCCACCCCAGGGAGACCCTTGAGATGCATGCTGCTGACCCCACAGACATCTCCCTCAGTTCTTCTCAGGAAGGAAGGAAAGGGAAGGAAAGGGAGGGAAGGAAGGAAGGAAGGAAGGAAGGAAGGAAGGAAGGAAGGAAGGAAGGAAGGAAGGAAGGAAGGA